CTGCTGGGTATGTCTCACCACAAACGCAGGCACATGTTTTAAATAAGACAGAGTTAAAGGGTGTTGTTTTTTCTGCGAGCTAGATTGTCAGCTATTTTGTACAGTGCTCCCTTGTCTAGAAGCATCAGGAACTTTGAGATCTGGGATGGAGCAGCCACCGTGGACTCGGCCTCCTCGGGCCGGGCAGCACTGTAGCACTCTGGGCATGGGGATTCGCACTCTCACCCCCAGTTGACAGCAGGGGAAGCGGGATGCAGAGGCCACAAGCTGGTGCGGCAGAGCCTGCCAGACGCATCCAATCTTTCTCTTTGGGATACGATGTTTTTTAATGGCCTTGGGCAGCATCACCGACGTTCAGAGTGTGCAGTTTCATGAGTCTGCATGTAGCATGACCCCAAGACCACTGTCGCAGTTGAAATAATGAATGTGTCCGTCACCACCAGGTCTCCGTGTGCCCTGAGAGGGCCCCTTCCTCCCCTCTGCCCTGTCCAGGAAGCCCCAGTGGATCAGCTCACGGACCCCAGGACTCACAGAAGTGGGGCCAGGTGGTGTGTGCAGCTGGGGGCGCGGGGCGGTCTGGGCTCTCACACACTGTCGGGATGTTGCAGCTCACGATGTGCGTGTTGGTGGCGCGTTCCTTCTTCTCCTGGGTAGTGACCACTGCGTTTGTAACATACTCGCCTGTTGATGGGGTGGAGTCTGTGGATTCTCTTGGATTTTCTGTGTTTACAGGGGTGGCAGCTGTATTTCTTCCTTCCAGCTCTTGTACACTGTGTCTCCCTCTTGCCCTGCCCGGAGCCCGGGTGTGGAGGTGGCCACAGGGATGTCCCAGGACCTGTCGGAGAAAAGGTTTTCGGCATTTCACCATCACGTAGGACCTTGGCTGTGGGTGCTTGTAGGTACCGTGTATCCGATTTAGGTTTCTTCTTTTGAGGCCGTTTGATTCAAGGTTTTATCATACAATTTACATGACTGGAGTCTCGTGAATATTTTGCGTGGAATATTTGTAGCAACATCAGTGGGAGAGATGGGCCTGTGTCGCTCCCTTCTTGCAATGCCTTTGTCAGGGGAGTGAAGATGCTGGGGGCTTCACAGAGGTGTGAGGGGTGGGAGCTGTGAGGGGCCGGAGCTGGGAGGGGCCGAAGCTGTGAGGAGTGGGAGTTGGGAGGGGTCCGAGCTGAGAGGGGTGGGAGCTATAAGGGGTGGCAGCTGTGAGAGGCTGAAGCTGTGAGGGGTCAGGGCTGTGAGGGGTGGGAGTTGTGAGTGGCTGGATCTGGGAGGGCCCAGAGCTGTGAGGGGTCACTCTCTCTGAGGGGCAGGAGCTGGGAGGGGTGGGAGCTGGGAAGGGTCAGGGCTGGGAGGGGTCAGGGCTGGGAGGGATCAAAGCTGTGAGAGGCCAGAACCCTAAGAGGCCAGAGCTGTGACGGATGTCGGGGCCATGAGGGCCCAGAGCCGTGAGGGCCTTTGGAGTCGTCAGGGGTCATTATCTTTTCTGCTCTCTGGAAACGGGTAAGACATGTGTTGGCTTTTTCTTTTCTTTTGAGATGGAGTCTCGCTCTATCGCCCAGGCTGGAGTGCAGTGGTGCAATCTCGGATCGCTACAACCTCTGCCCCCGCCGGGTTCAAACGATTCTCCTGCCTCAGCCTCCCAAGTGGCTGGGACCACAGGCGCCGGCCACCACGCCTGACTAATTTTTGTATTTTTAGTAGAGAGGGAGTTTCACCGTGTTAGCCAGGATGGTCTCAATCTCCTGACCTCGTGATCCGCCCGCCTCAGCCTCCTAAGACTTTTTCTTTAACTGTTTAGTAAAAGTCACGGGTGAACCTATCTAAGCCTGAAGTTCTTTTGTGGGATTATTTTTAACTAGACTCATTTTTAAAGACAGATACAGGAGTTTTGTGATTTTCTGTTTCTTTGTGTGTCCATTGGATAAATTGTACTTTTCTCAGGAATCTAACGGATTAACTGATTTGCATGGAGTTACGTGCAGTATCCTTTCATTACCTTCTTAACACCAACAAGACCTGTCGGCACCTCTATGTTCCCGATGCTGGTCGTTCAAGCCTCCTCTCTTAAACTAGACTTGGAAATCAGAGAAACACAGTGGGGGGAGAAAAAGTAGCCTATACTTAGACCACCCAAGGAGCAACCGCAGGGAGCATCCTGAGAAATGGATGTCCAGTCTCTCTTTTTAATGTATATTAAGTTTTCCTTTTCAAAAGCACATGCACACACATTTATGTGAAAAAATAGGATAAACTTACCATTTTATGGCCTTTTTGCCTCCTTCACCTTTTTAAATTACTGTTTTATAGTCTTATAAAAATAGAGCAATAGCATAATCGATCTCAATAGGGCAACCATTTGTTTCTCTTGTAGTCTTAGGAGGGGAAGCCGACCCCGGGGTAGGACACTGGTGAGGAGCTGCACTGACTGAGAGCTGGCGGAGGAGGACGTGCCAGGAGGAACCTGGAGGTTGATAAGCCCCCACGCAGTGTTCTTGCTGGGTGATGAGGGTCTCCCCTGTGACCTGTCACGGCCCAGATGGGCTTCCTCTGGGTGGGGAAATGCTCTGTGTTACTTATCTCCAAATTAATGAAGGCAAGCATATTTTTTAATAGACACCTAAGAGGAGAGGCTTAATTTCATCTGTTTTTAACGGAACCTGGGAAATTAAAATGGATTACCTAGCCGTGGTTGGTTTTTAAACATCAGTGTTTTCAGAGCGGATCTAGGGGCTGCTATTCAAAGACGTCTGGGCCAGGCTGGTTGGTCAGACCTGCACAGTGGACCCCAGTAGCAACACACACTCGCAGATGAAATTATTCAAACACCCGCTGGTGAGTGAGGAGCAAGACGAAGGTGTTGAGGAGACTCAGGCTGGGCGGCCTTCACCTTGCGACTGTGCGCTGAGCTGCTTCAGCCCATGCCACGCTGTGGCGGTGGAGGCTGTGCAGAAGCTCATCACATGAAGACACGGTGGGAGCTCTCTTCCACAAAGCGGCAGCGGCCTCGTCTCACAGTTCCACAGCGGCGAGCGGCGTTCCATTTCACCGAGAACAGAGCTGGGGGTGTCTACATCCGATGAAGACGGGAGGCTGGTGCTTGGTAAAATACTTCTGTATTTTCAGGGTGAGAGAAACCGATGCGACTGCTTCATCCAGTCGTGCGGTGGGACCGAATCACAGCTCCCGGTGTCCGCGGCTGGGAAGGAGCCTGGAGCTTGCCCTCTGCAGGGTTCCTGTCTGGCTCGCGGGCGGGCCCTGGGCTTTGAGGGCAGTGTGCTCAAGGCTGTTGAGACAGAGGGGAATAGGAGGCCACCGTGAAGAGATGCAGTGTGGAAGAGGAACTCATGTATTCTATCTCATTTCGGAGGTGAAGGGAGAGCGCCTGAGTGGAAATGATAGGGAACCTGCCTTTACAAGTGTCTCACAAACTTCACTCACGTCATTTCATCTTGATTCCTCACAATCTGTGATGGGGTGCACAGCCCAGAAAACTCACACAGGCACTTTCTAAAAATCAGAACTGTCTGAACCCCCGCCCCTGGCGTGGTACAGCCGCAAGCCTTGTAGTTCTAGATCTGCTCGGGCAGCGCCTGGGAGCCGTGTGCTGGCCGTGGCACAGACATCTGTGGTATAGACTTTACCCATCAGTGTCTGGACGTGGCTTGGGTGTGGGGCAGGGCATGTATGCCATGTGCTGTCTGTTCTTGGCCTGCACACATCCTCTGTTCCCCCTGCCTGGTGCCAGTTACTCATCTGAGACCCTTCTGTCAGGGAGCAGCAGCGTGGGCACCGCGCCTCCGCCCTCACCGAGGGGGCCCCGCGCCTCCGCCCTCACCGAGGGGGCCCCGCGCCTCCGCCCTCACCAAGGGGGCACCGCGCCTCTGCCCTCACCGAGGGGGCACCGCGCCTCTGTCCTCACTGAGGTGTTGGGACTGCCGTGGTTTATCCATGGTGCTTTCTACTCACCCTCTCCCCAGTCACCCGTTTCAACCCAGGCTGCCCCTCTCAGCCCGTGAGAATCGGTTGTGCTGCCTCTTCTGTTCGCATGTTCCGCATCACCAGAGTGGTAGTTTGAAATCAGCCGTGGGGAGGTATTTACACCAGGGAAATTAGTAGATGGGAGGACTCCGGACTTTTCGGAGAGCTGGTTGTTAGCCATTTACCAGCACACCACCAACCTATGCTGTCTATAAACCACCTTCTGCCAACCTGGAGTCCAGCTTAGCCTTCGTGTCAAAATGCACGAAGATGGGCAAGTCATCATTACTTTTTATTCTCACACACAAGTAACTTTAGAAAGGACCTAATTGTAAAATAAAATTAAAAAAAAAAAAGAAATAAGGGTTTCCCGTCCCTCCCCCCCACCCCAAGGCCCATAGAAATGAAATTTTACTCTAAAAATGCAATAACTGGCCAGGTGCAATGGCTCATTCCTGTAATCCCAGCACTTTGGGAGGCCGAGGCAGGTGGATCACTTGAAGCCAAGAGTTTGAGACCACCCTGGCCAACATGGCGAAACCCCATCTCTACTGAAAATACAAAAATTAGCCAGGCGTGGTAGTGCGTGCCTGTTATCCCAGCTACTCGAGAGGCTGAGGCAGGGGAATCGCATGAACCTGGGGGCAGGGGTTGCAGTGAGCCGAGATTATGCCATTGCACTCCAGCCTGGGCAACAAACTAAGACTCTGTCTCAGGAAAAAAAAAAGCAACAGCTTGTACATCCTTCAAAACACACCATTTATTATGATCGTAGCATCTGTGAGTGTATGTACATCTAAATGAGTCTTTTATGGGGGGAAAAAAAGTAGGCTGCTAATTACATTATTGTTAATTTCAGGCTCTTTGATGGTAAAGTTGAGAATCACTGAAGTAAATAGTGTAAACTCTTTTTCTACTAAAACTACAAGATCCTGATGGAAAATTTATTTAGCCTCATACGTTTGTTGTGGTTTCATTGTACTGAAAATTGTTATATTTGATTTTTTTAACAGATCAGGATCCTCATGACCAGCCAAAGAGAAGAAGAATTAGGAAGCATAAGTCAAAGAAAAAATTTAAAAATCCCAACAGTGTTCTTGTAGAACAAGCAGAATTAGAGAAACGGCAGAGTCTGTTACAGGAGAAATTTCAGCGACAGCACACAGATGGGCCCACGATAAGCAAAAATAAAAAAAGGAAACTGAAAAAGAAACAGCAAATTAAAAGGAAGAAAGCAGCCGGCTTGGCAACAAAGGCTGCTGGTGTCAGCTTCATGTACCAGCCGGAGGACAGCAGCAGTGAAGGGGAAGGCATGGGAGAGGCTGGTGAGGGGGGAGGTGCGGACGCCAGCGAGGAAGACCCGACACCGGCCGGGGAGGAAGACATTAAAGACGCCGGGGAGGAGGGAGGTGCGGACTCTGGGAAGGAAGACCCGACACTGGCCAGGGAGGAGGACGGCGCCGACGCCAGCGAGGAAGACCCGATACCGGCCGGGGAGGACGATGGTGCGGACGCCGGGGAGGAAGATGATACAGTTACCAATGAAAAGGCAGATAGTGTTCTAAATTTTTTGAAGTCAACACAGGAAATGTATTTTTATGACGGTATGTTTTTTACTGTTTTGCATAGAGACATCCACTTAAAAGTTTATTAAAAGAAAGAAATATAATGCTTAAATGTGAAAACATACATTAAAATATTCAATGTAAATAATTAGTTATAAGGCAAAGATCAGAGTATTTACGTGCTTTCCACTGATGATGTGGACGGGCACGTGCCCCTGGCATATCCAGAGAAGCAGTGTGGCGGCCGTGGCCTGCGCCAAGAACAGGCTGGCCCCATGTCCTCCATGCCTCAGGTCAGGTTTTGGAGTGTGTTGGCATCCAGGCTGTTTTTCTAAACAAGAGATAAATCGAAATTAGAGGTTTTGATGAGCTGAGCTCACCTTCATAAGCAGACTGAGAGGTGAAGGAAACACAGCTTGCGCCTTTAGGACAGGTTTCATTTTCTCTTCCACGTAGAATGGATGCGTGATTTCTCAGCAAACATTTTTGTGCAGTTGTTTGTATTGACATAAGGAAAGTAAGCACAGGCTTAATGTCACAGATGGCGCTTGCTTACATCTGCACTCTGCTGTGTTGACAGCTGACCTAGGGACACGTGGTTGCCCCAGAACAAAGATGGTCACCAGGGGCTTCCTGGCTTTTTTCTCTTTAGTTTTTTTTTAATAGTTTTTAATTTTTGTGGGTATAGGTGTCTTTTTAATGATGTCACCAGCAGGTTCAGGTTAATGTGGGTTTAGCAGATCCAGATTTAAGCAGGGCATTTGACAGTGTTGTTATGAACAAGATTAAGAAGTATCAGCTATGTAATAATTTGGGAATTAAGTAACTGATTTTTAACAGTGATGCAGAAGTACCATTTTTAATAGATTGATTTCAGTACGAAGAGCACTCGAGCCTCTTCCTCTTTAGCATGTTTCTCAGCAGATTATATTAACCAACTGAAAACACATCTAGATGGCACATCAGGAAGACGTGGCTAAGACACTGCAAAGTGGAGTAGAATTCGGAAAGATCTCAGTAAACTTTCTGTTCTGTGTGTGATCGAGCACCTTGGGGCAGACCAACAGTCATGCCAGGAGTAACCAAAAAGCCAGGTTGAGAAATACCTATTGAAGGAATCAGCAAGCTCCTCAGGAAATCGGCTCATAGAAAGATGAAACTCCTGGAACCCGCACGGGGAGATTATCATGGAAACATCCGCAGCCACTTGTCTTCAGGAATCTGCCAGTCCTGAGTGTGGGCGTTGGGTGAGGGTCTGGGGAAAGGACCTGGTGAAGGCTAGAGAGGCAGAAAAACCAGCCTCACAGGTGGAGAGACCAAAAGCAGAGCCTGGAGCCTGGTGAGCACGGACGTTAGAGCCAGGGCCGGCGGGCTCGGAGGTCGGAGCCTGGGGACCAGTGGGCTCGGAGTTCGGAGCCAGGGCCGGTGGGCTCGGAGGTCGGAGCCTGGGGACCAGTGGGCTCGGAGTTCGGAGCCAGGACCAGTGGGCTCAGAGGTCGGAGCCAGGGCCGGTGGGCTCAGAGGTCGGAGCCAGGGCCGGTGGGCTCAGAGGTCGGAGCCGGGGCCGGTGGGCTCAGAGGTCAGAGCCTGGGGACCAGTGGGCTCGGAGTTCGGAGCCAGGACCAGTGGACTCAGAGGTCGGAGCCGGGGCCGGTGGGCTCAGAGGTCGGAGCCGGGGCCGGTGGGCTCAGAGGTCACAGCTGGGGCGGGTGGGCTCGGAGGTCGGAGCCGGGGCCGGTGGGCTCGGAGGTCACAGCTGGGGCCGGTGGGCTCGGAGGTCGGAGCCGGGGCCGGTGGGCTCGGAGGTCGGAGCCGGGGCAGGTGGTCTCGAAGGTTACAGCTGGGGCCGGTGGGCTCAGAGGTCGGAGAACAGAACTCAACACTCTGCATGGCTTCCCTTAGAGCCTTTACCCAATTCTGAAGCTGTGGGTGGAAGATGAGAAGCCACACAGAGCCTCCGAATAATGTAGGGGCCTCTTGGCCATCTTGAGGTGCTGATCAGATGAGGACTGGCCTGACTCTGGAGCCCAGCAGAAAAGGGCAGCCCAGAGGCAGACGACCCTGTCCCAAATGTGTGGCCACCCTGGAGTCAGCTCAGTCCCTGCACAGTCCAGGGGATCCACCTCTGCTCTGTCTGCCTGGCGGAGCAAAGGGTGAGACCTCTAGAAGAAAATATCACCATCCTAGACCTCTGCAGTCTTTCCTATGCATTCAGCAACAGTTTACCAGGCATGCCACGAAACAGGACCACAGCACCGAAAACAAGAGGAAAAGAGCAGTAGAGCTGGAGCAGGAGATACTGGTGTTATCAGACAAGGAGCTTAAAGTAAGAGGGGAAAAAAATTGGAGCATTTTGCCAGGTAATTTGAATCTACTAAAATAATCAAATGGAAATTGTAGGCCCGAGAAATATGGTAACAAAAATTCAGGCCTCAAAAGACAGGGAAATTGCAAATGGGGTTCGCCTAAAAGAGAATTAGTGACCGGGAAGACGGGTGAAAGAAAGTCTCCAGAATGCAGGGTGGAGAGAAAACAGATGGAAAACACAGGAAAGAGCCCAGCAGACCTGGAGCGGGAAGTCCGGCGTCTGCGACAGGCCCAGGTGGACAGGAGAGGACGGAGCAGGGGCGGGACAGAACGACATGACCGTTGGGAGTTTCACACAATCGTTTCGGGACACAGAGTCACAGGTTGAAGAAGTCCTGCCAAGTCCAAGCAGGGTTAATGCCGAAACCACCACAGGCGACCACGTTTTGCAGTTGAACTGCTGAACAGCAGCCAGAGAAACAAGACCAGCCACCAGACTGAGGGGAAGTCAGGGGCTGGTTTTCAGTTCTCCTTGATTTCTTCTAAACAGCCACAGTCTGATTCTTTTTTTAAAGCTATGTGACATAGCTTGGTTTCATCGTCTGGTTTATCCTGCTGCTGTTCATGGCCTTGAGTTGTGTGTTGGACAGGGAAGGCGTCTCACCAGACAGGCGGGTAGACGGGCCAGGGAAGGCGTCTCACCAGACAGGCGCGTAGACGGGCCAGGGAAGGCGTCTCACCAGACAGATGTGTAGACGGGCCAGGGAAGGCGTCTCACCAGACAGGCGCGTAGACAGGCCAGGTTTCCACGGTCGTTCCTACAGTGGTGTTTTGTACTGAGCTCTGTTCTGATTCTTTCTTCTGGTAGCTTCTCATCTCCCAGACATCTCATTCTACGTGGAAGCGTAGGTTTGAGGCCTTCCTTAAGAGAGGAAAGCTTATCTTTGTGGAAATAAAAACAAAACTGTATTTCCAAGCAAAACTGACTTTATGTAGGTGTCTCCAGAGATGCAGCTTCAGGCGCCCTGGCCGATGCCGCTGAGGAACTGCTGGACCGTCTTGCGTCACACAGCATGCCGCCCTCAGACGTGTCCATCGTGCACCACCTGAAAACACTGCTGCTTCTGCAAGATACTGAGAGATTGAAGCGCGCTCTGGAAATGTTCCCACAACATTGCACGATGCCTCCTGGTAAGTACCGTACGATTTATTCAAGGTCCTGCTTAAGCTACTCTCATCGAGGTTTGCCTCTAAAAGACTCACATGCCACCAAAACAGCAATGAGTTGGAAAATGTGACACTGCACATATGGCGTGGGAGAATGGAGTCCCACCGAGAAACAGGCTTCCTGCGTCTCTGCTTGATACAAAAATATTTCACATAATATATGCAGAAACGCATGTGCAGTCTGAGTTTCCAGACTTGGGAGCTGTCAACTCTTGGAGCCAAATTTCCCAAGTTTCAATAGAAGTGAATTCGTTTCTTCCTCTTTTCCTTCTCCGCTACTAGTGTGGTAGATGGTAAATTTTTGCTGGCTTCCAACTGTCTGGTACCTTATTGAACCCCTGACGTGGTGACGATGACTTATTTTCCACCACATTCATCAGGCATCCTTTTCATGCAAACTGTTGTGTGCTGGGGCGGCTGTGCTCATGTCTTCCCAATGCCATGCGTGGTGACACAAGCTGTGGTGAGGGTATTCAGGCCACAGAAACCTGCAAATGCTGAAAATCTGAAGTCCAGGCTGTTGAGCCATTCACCTGCACACCACTGAGTGCACCACTGAGGTGGGAGGAGCCTGGTGGCTGGACCAGGGGATGCGGGTGACAGGGCCAGGCACATGGGAGGAGCCTGGTGGCTGGACCAGGGGATGCGGGTGACAGGGCCAGGTGCATTGAGTGAGTCTCAGAAGGGGGAGAGGTGACAGGACCAGGCACATGGGACCCTGGGCATGTGCGGCCTTGTGGGCTTCTACGCAGAGACAGGAGGTTCCTGGAGGCTGTGAGGCTTCTGGGCTACTATCTTGAGGCTGGATGGAGGGCATGGAGAATGGAGACCAGGTGGGTGCTGCTGAGGACCTGCTGAGAGGGGCCTGCAGCATGGACCAAGGTGCAGCCACGGCTTAGGCAGCTGTAGCCGATGTCCGGGTGGACTGTGGAGGTAGAACCAGTGGGAGCTGCCGAGTGGCCGGCGAGGCACTGGGAGGACCAGGTCACCACGAGGAGGAGGAGGAGCTCCCAGAAGGATCGGGTTTGAGGTGAGAGCACTGCCCGGAGCGTAGTGCTGGGTGGCTATGCAGGTGCCAGTCAGACCTCAGGTTCTGAGGCTCAAGAGGGCCGTGGGGCCCGGAGTGCAGGGAGGAGAGAGATCAGGGACAGTGAGTACAGATGCCCACCAGGAGCGTGGCCAGGGGTCATGAGAAACGACACTGGAGGAGAACACAGGGCCCACGGGCGACAGCGGAGGAGAGGGGAGGAGCCGCACCGGGAAGGTGGCACCTGTGTGTGCAGGAGAGGGCGGCGTTGGCCCCAGGCCGGCATCTCTGTTTCTGGTTGGTCGTCAGGCCTCTTACAGCAAGTACTTAACAAACTTAGATTTCCATAATAAGATTTATCTCAAACCGCAAAAAAGCCAATTTTATTATGTTAAACTGGTAGGAGATTTTTATGAGAGATGAAAGTAAGCGATTTTAAATTTTTCATTTTTTAAATTTTCTGTTTCTCACACTTGAGGCTTTTCTGACATGCACCAAAGGAGTTTTGGCAATCCTTTTTTGCATCAGAAGAATTTAGCAGAACCCCCAATATTAAAACAATTGGTTTCTTATATTAAACTCATCGGACAGGTTTTGTATACACACACATTTACGTCAAGCCACTGATAGAACTAAACTGTGTGTAGGAATCTGTTTTCTCTAAGAAAGGATTCCTTTGAGTTCTGTAGGATATGTGCTTACAGTTTTTCTACGTCAAGCTATTTTATGAAATAAAATTTTATAAACAATGAAGCTTTGTTTTCATACATTGTATTTGTTTAATGCAGACTTGGCATATAGTTTTTGAAATTAAGGGTTTTTTCCATAATACTAGCTTAGGAATTTAATTAGTCACTGTGTCTCTCACCTCCATAGGATGAGCACAGAAATCACATTTTAAAAGCAGGTGTGGGTGTTTTCCGCCGATCGTGTCTCCTCTCCTGCTTCTCTGGCTCAGCAGTTACTTTTCCTCAGTCGTGGGGGCTGCGTTCAGCTGGGATGCCAGCGTCAGGGCGAAGCTCCCCCGCGTCTGTGACGTTTTGTTACACACGCTTCTTATCAGTAGTAGCCGCCATTCCCTGAGTGTTCTCGCACATGCACTGAGAAGGGCTGGAGATTGTCACCCTCCTCTAACCCTCGGTGAGGGAATTAGATTTTTATCATCCTGACTGTTGGGGATTTCCAGAGCTCAGGCAATTTGCCCCTGGGTGGGATGGAGCCCGCCTGGGCGGGGAACATGGATGGGCTTCTGTTGTCTGTAGCTTGGCTCTCTGTGGTTGGAAACTTCAGAAGCAGCAGATTCTAGGTGCAGCATTTGGTACCCTCACAAGCTGTAAAACCTGACTTTGGGGAGAGCCCTCTCTGGCAGCCAGTGTCCTGCCGTGAGCCCGGTGAGCACAGACGTTAGAGCCGGGGCCGGCGGGCTCAGAGGTCAGACCTTGGGGACCGGCGGGCTCAGAGGTCAGACCCTGGGGACCGGCGGGCTCAGAGGTCAGAGCCGCAGCCCCCCTGTGGAAGCCCTGAGGGTTGTGGTAACATCAGGGGTGACTGTGGTGTCGCGATGTGGTGTCTCGGCTGCCTTTGGCTGGCGCTGCCGCAGCCCTGGTTTCATGATGTGGGCACCACGTGGTCCTATGTTGTCTCACTTACGGCTCCACTTGTGAAGTTTTTCTACTTGTTCACCTTTGACATAAACTTCTATTTCCTTTTCATTTCAGTTTGTATGTGGGTTTTCTTTCACATCTGATTTTAAGCCTGTAATATTGCACTGTAACGTTTTGAAGTGCAGGTGTAATAGAGCCAGTGAACCAAGGGTTCATGCCCCAGTGGAATACAAATATTCATAACTGAGCCAGTGTGTTGCCATACGATTACATAATGTGTGATTAGCAGGTGTAATCTGTCACTTTCAACATCAGTTTTATGCCAGAGTTGCATTTTATTAGATTATTTGGGAGTTCACTTTGGGCCCAAAGGCTCATGTCTACATAATAATAACAACTTACAATTTTTCTTTTTGTCTTCATTTTATTTTTTGTTTATTTTTATTTTTTTGCTTTCCAGACCATGCCAGAGTAATCTCAGCTTTCTTTAGTTACTGGATGACACATGTCCTCCCTGAGAAGAGCAGTGACTAAAATGGAATATCTCTTTAAGAAGAGCTCCTCTTTAATAAAAAACATGAAAGACAAATGTGAAATGGGCCTAGAGTTAGTTCTCTGGGAACTCGAAGGACGTTTCTATTATTTATTCCCATGTTGTTCCTGATGGGCCATCTGAGGCTTCGGATGAGAAATTGGGGTAAAATGGAAATTTTTCACCGATTTGCAATTATATATGTCTTGAATTACTACATAAAATGTGATTCTGTTTTTCTAATTATTGTAAAAATTGAAAATGGACATTGTGTTAAACTGTATCATTCGAAGCTCATATATTTTTATGAAGTTTTGAATCACCTTATATCTGAACGTCTCTGTTTTAAGAATGCTTTCTGGGCATTAAAATGTTCTAGTTTAGTCTGATTACAGTTGAATTTCTTTTTTTTTTCTTCTCTACTTTGTGAATCATATCAAGTACCTGTTTTTCCTGTTTGACTTTCTTTTTTGTCATAGAAGCAGTCGTCAGTTCTTGGTATTACTAAGTTTTAAAAGCATCAGTCAGGCCGGGCACAGTGGCTCACGCCTGTAACCCCAGCACTTTGGGAGGCCGAGGCGGGCGGGTCACGAGGTCAGGAGATCGAGACCATCCTGGCGAACACGGTGAAACCCCGTCTCTACTAAAATACAAAAAACGAGCCGGGCGCGGTGGCGGCGCCTGTGGTCCCAGCTCCTCGGGAGGCGGAGGCGGGAGAATGGCGGGAACCCGGGGGGCGGAGCTTGCAGAAGCCGAGATGGCGCCGCTCACTCCAGCCTGGGCCACAGAGCGAGACTCCGCCTCAAAAAAAAAAAAGCATCAGTCAGTTGGTACAACATTTGTGAGCGGCAGTGGCAGTGCCTCTGCCTATGAAGAGTTTTTATTGCCCGGGTAAAACATACATAAACTTCCATTTTCAGTCATTTTTTAGGTGCATAATTCAAGGTACCGCACGCATTTGCCTGTGCTCTGCCGGAGCACCGACGCTCGTCCTGTTGTGGTGAGAGCAACCCTAAATGTGCCTTCCCCGGACTCCAGCGTGTGCCCTGTCCCTGTGATGCTCCACCCCACGCGTGTGCACTGTCCCGCCTGTGAGTGCTTCCGTGTCCCGGCGCTGTGTGGTGGGGCTCGTCCTCCCTTTCCTCTGGGGAGTGGAACTGCAGGGTCAACCTGATGCTGGGCGACGTTCTGAGGGTCTCGACAGGCAGGCTGCTGGGTCCACACCCCCAGTGCTGATCAGGGCCCATTCTGCACGGGTGGGCTTCCGGCTCGGGGTGCTGTCCCGCCTTCTATCTTTGGAGAGACATCAAGCAGCACCCATTCTCGCCCCAAAAGCTGATGCTCAGGTGGGCCCCAGCGTGGAGGGAGGGGAAGGAAGCCCCTGTCATCGTCGCGCCCCCCCCCGGACGCCCCTGTCATCGTCCCCGCCCGCCCTGCCACTCGTCTGCCAGTTTCCCTCCAGGTCTGCTTCAGAACGTTCTCTTCCACAAAGCTGGAACCTTCTGGAAGCAGGTGAAACAGGGATGTTTTGCCTGGAGATGGTCCCCTGGGAGCTGGTGGTCATGCAGTATCCCCAGCCTGATGCAAGTCGCAGGCCCCGGAGCACAGGCGTGTGGCAGTGGATGCCACTGTTCCCAGCGTCGCCCGAGGACAGGACGCAGGCTGCTCCAGGCAGGGCGTTCCTGGGAGGCCGTAGGTGAGGCGGGAGCTGCAGGTGCTGCTGCTCCACCTTCTTTCGACCTCAGGGGAGCTGTGGTCATCTGCAGGGCGCCCTGCCCAGCCCTGCCCTCCCTTCTCTTCC